TCTACTTCGCGAATGACGTAAGTAACTCCGACGTCACCTTTACCCTCGGTGTCTAGGTTGTCTCATGCGCTTTTCAACAAAGCCCTAGAACAGTTTACACCCTCAATACCTCTAGCTAAGAAGAGTAGAGACAATTCAAGCTATTGATGTAAACTGGAGAATGCCGTCACGCACGTCGCACGACTCATGCGCGTAATGGGTGTTTCAGTGGGTGCTTGCTAAATACCTGTACAAACGCGGGACCCTGGAAACACGACTGGAAATGTTTACAAGAGACATGCAATGTTAACTGAAACGTTTGTTTGCAGATTAGGCACTTAGTGCACGCATCCGATAAACAAGAACGCGTGTTAAATGTGTACTATCCTAGAGGTTTATTGCACGCACGCACACATTCACCAACTTTTGTGCGTTGTGAAGGAGAACACGGTGGTGATGTGACGGCTAGCGCACAGGGAGATGACAATACGGCCCAACCTAGTGCTAGCTGTACCCAAGGACATGTTAACTAGGAGATGTGTTACTCATCCTGATGAGAGTTAAACTACTATTTCTTAAATGCGGACAGCGGACCACTGGAAGTGCGACATCCCTGAGTAGTTAGGTTCTGAAATGATTGGTAAGCCGCGGTGACGCTCTCGCGGCTTACATCGACTGTAAGTTAAACACGAGTACACCTTGACAGCTGTTCCAACCACTGTGGTGCCCACAGCCCACATTAAAACTGCAATCCCTTAGCTGTAAAACTTGTTGCCAAGATCGATCCAACAGAATTAATCATATTATAGCACAAAGGCGATAATGGCAGCATGGTTAGCCAGAAAAGCACATTAAGTTATATCTCCCTATGCATCTTAAATGACGTTTTCTGGCCGACCAGGTTCCTCCGTTCATTCATTCAGGCAAACCTCTGGAAACTTTATTGTTCCAAATCCCTTTAAAAGCATCGGACAGTAGAAGTAGTAATAGTAGGGCTAGTCTCCATACGATGACGTCTTCCACTAATTTCTCACCTATCACGAAGACTTGTCGTCGCAGCGCAAGCCCCTTATCGATTACAGCAATTTCTTCTTCGACTTATGCCGACCTCAGGACCATCTAATTACAAACACACTTAAATGAACTACGAGCCCGCCGTTGCAAGATAGTTACCGCACCAATCATATCTTTGCGGGCCAAGTCAAAATAAGCTTTATGAATCCTAATGGGTTCGTTTCCCGCATTTACATTATCATCGCGGATATACTGGCAGATGGTTGGTGACAGGCTCCGGATTCATCTGTCACTGGGACCTCCATAGACCAATCACAGGACGCCTCGCCTACAGAGGGACCATGAGTAGCTCGCACTGCACCACCCACAGCTCCAACCACACACCCCATATCCAGTGTAGACCCGAAGGAATAAGACCGGGAAGCATGTGGGTGGGAGCCACGCTTCGTCAATTGAGCCGACGCAGACTCCTACAACATTCACAGCAACAACATTTCTATCTAAATGGGGAATCATGCGTAGCAGTGGTACACAATGAACAACCATGAACAATGATATATTACAGGTAAAAAAGTGATTGCTTTACTACTTCCGTAGGATGGTTTTAAGTGAAAGCATAACGTAAGTGTAAATCGTTACTTTAAGCGTCGAGCGATTCAAATGCCCTGCTTCATTAAAATATTTTAGGATGCCTATTGAATTGTTAATGTAGAGCAATATGGGAAAGGTATGTCTTAAGAACAGAAGAAACGACAACGCTTACTCGTGCGCCACTTTCTTGGACTGATATAATTGATGAATGCAGCTGTAGTATATGCGAACGATATTCCATAGAAGCAGCCTGTAAGTAGTAAAGCACAAAAGCTGAGAAGGTGCACCGTTTGGTCACGTTTGGTTGACGTAGACATCATGGATTATACAGCGTAATGTAAGTGGATGAGCGAATCATCCAGACGTCTTTTGAATACGTCAATGTGGAGGAACAAATAACGCATGTGGGAAGGGCGTTCCAGTGTTGGCACACACGAAGAGAAGAGAAATTCCGGCAGCATTCCAACCGGCTGTATTGTGTGGTCAGCATTAGCTGGTGTCCACTGAGTGTGCTATTGAGATTCAGCTTTAGTAGGTGACGACAACAATGGTTTGGATTCCTCAGGACCATATAAGTCATTAACAAGTCGCCATGCAGGCGTCGATATTGTCCACTGTAGACCCCGAGGGTTTTCAGCCTGAATCAGTAAGGGAGCTGAAACAGGCCCTGTACGTCCTTGGTCGCCCTTCGTTGTAGCAGTTCAAGAGCGGTAAGGTCTTGCTTTTTCCATGGCTGCTGGGCGTGGATGATGTACTCAGAACAAAGCCGAATGTAGGCGTTGAGCATCTGAGAAAAGGCGGAAGGGTCAAAGCGTCCAATTGCCCTTCGCAAAAGGCCAAGGTGTTGGTTAGCATTCTTGGAGGCATTCTCGGCCTGACGGGAATAGCCCAGATCTTCTTACATAGCATTACGTTGAAGTGCATTCCAATATTTGATCCCCCAGTCTGTATTCGTAAGTGGTTTTATGGCGTATGCTCAACACTTTGCACTTTGTAGCGTTGCACTGAAGCAGGTTCTGGGTCGACCATTCGTAGACCCTGTCAAGACCATCCTGAAGTGTTGCATTGTCGCCGGTTGTTCTAATGGCTCGCGATATCTTGAGATCACCAGCGAAGAATATGGAGTTGGCGGTGACCACTGTCGCGATACCGTTTATTTAAATCAGTAATAATCCTGGACCACGTACTGGGCCCTGGGGCACTCCGCACTTAACATCGATTGGGTCAGAGATAACGCCGCGAACTCTTACATTCAGATGTCGTTGAAGCAAGAAGTTACCTATCCAACCGAAGATTGGGTCACCAATTCCACAACACTGCAACTTGTGAAGGCGGCTACGCTGGTTCAGACGGACAAAGGCTTTTGTGAGGTCCGGATATACAGCACCAACACCTACGTCGCTGCCGACGGTATCAGTCCTAATGGATCTAGCAAGCAGAAAGTTTGAAGTGCAAGATCGGTTCTTTCAAAATCTATGTTGTTCTTGTGTTATGATATTGCGTTCTTCCAAATACTTCATGAGCGCTTTGGCAATAATCGCTTCCATGATTCTGGAGAGCACTGGAAGTAGTGTTATTGGGCGGTTGTTGGTCGACTCTGTACGCCTTCCCCCTTATGGATTGGAGTGGTAATTCCCTACTGACACATCTTTGGCACCTGCATCTCGTCAAGGCACCATTGGAGCAACGTGCAGAGTGGGTCCGCCAGGTTTACTACAGCCAATTTCAAAGCCTTTAGACGAATCTTATCAACGTCGGGAGAGGTATAATCGCACAGGGCAATTAACCTTTTCATAACATCCGCAGCCGTAAACTACATGTGGCTAAGTCCTTCTGGTGGTACAACGTGCGGGAACAGTGTGTGTGGCGATTTCGTGCTCTGGAAGTTCGGGGCGAATTGCTGACATAGGGCGTTGGCCGCCTCGGTTGCGTTTTGTGCCAGTCCATATGACGTATTTAAGGCAGGAATTCCTCGCTGCATTTTACGGAGCTTGTTAACGTGTTTGTAGAGGCGCTTGGGGTTTGAGAGGAATTTCTCAGCTAAATTCTGTTGATGCTGTTTGTTACCTTCTCGTAGCAGCTTTATGCAGTGATTCCTTTGGATGGTTTAGGCATCCCAAGTTTCATCACTCGGTGACTCCTTGTGTCTTCGCCATAGTAAATTCCTCGTAACGATACACTGCGTGTCCTGCTGCGTATGAATGCTTTTACTATATTCGCTCGTGATGGCCTTGTTCTAGTAGCTCTAGTTAATAACGTGTTGAATTGTTGCTCAAAACCAGACCGGGCGACATCGGGGATCGTTCTGCTAGAAATGCCCAGTTTGCAGCATTTATAAGTTGGATTAAAGCGTCGTAATCCGTAATGCGCTGACACTCTTGTGTTTTCTGCGGAATACTCTGCATACCAGATGTACTTAAACATGAGTATCGCACGGTCGCTACGGTGCAAAGGACTCGCTATCCATACCGTTTCGATGATAGGCTCTTCCTTGGTGGATACGAGGTCCAGGACACCCGGTTTATTTCCCATCCTGCATCTTGTGAATGTTATGTGATTGTAGAGTAGTAGTTTACTAATTATCTCCTGTACTTCCATTTTGAAGTGTTCGTTGATATAGGCTGGGGTTTTTATTACATGAATATTGAAGGCACCAACCAGGAGAATATGGCTGTACGAATGTGAGAGAATGGTCATTGTGGAGGTTAGGCGGTTGCCCATTTCCAAAGTAGACGACGGAGAGCGATACACGACACCCAACAAACATGCGTCCCCACGGCTTAGGTGAAGACGGCACCAAAGCGCATCGACTATCTGAACCTCTGGGTCATGGATGAGATCAAGGTGTAGTTCACTGCGATAATAAAGTAGTACTCTACCTTCTCTACTTGGTCGATCGTTGCGTAGAATAAACATCCCAGGTAGTGCGATTTCTGCATCAGTGATCGCTTCACTCAACCAAGTCTCAATTATCATAACGAGGTACCTTGACATCGAGACTTGACGCAGGCGAAGCTCCGTCAGTTTGCTTAAAAAAGCTGGCGTTGGTAGAGAAACTGGTGAGTGATTCATATGTTAGAAGGTTGTTAATAGATGTAGACAACAGGTTTGAAACTTGGCCGACCCCCGTGAGGTTGGCTGCTACTCGTTTTTTGAATAGTCTTCGACGCACGAGAAAGACTTGGAATAACTCTCTGCAACATGCAGTCGGGTTCATGATGACCCTGATGGTCCCTCACCTCCTGTAGTGTCTCGCCAAATGCTATGACGGCTATCAGATCAGTCTCTGCGATGGACTCTGCAACAACGGGTGTTCCCACTTAGTTGGTTCTCTCCAGTGAGTAACCAGTAGCCTTTGGTGGTAAACCTGCTGCCTTTAGCCGAATTTCTGTTGGTAGCATGTTCCGGAAGTTACCCTAGTTCTCTAGAACGCTCTGTAAAGTTAGCTCAGACGGTAAGACTAACTTCAGTGACCTAGGACCACACCATTTGTAATTTAGTGACACGGGAATCCTGGTCAAGGAGATAGAAATGACATTTTCTGAAGACAGCGCCTCACGAATGTATCGCCATTGCACCAGGTCATGTGCCTGAACTTCTTCAGGAGATGAAGCTTGAGACTCAGGGAAGCCATGGATAATGACGGTTTTCAGCGAGTGTTTTCTACTTCCCTGTTGATTGTTCATATCCTTTGAACGTTCTTTCCACGGAATATCCGGTAAGGTACATACTCCGTTCGATGCTCTGTGATGTCGATTCAGAACGAGCAGAATGGATTCCGTTTCATCCGCGGAGTGTAGTGTTACTCGAAGTAGTCGAGGCTCAACATAGTGTAAGGAGTTTGGCTGTCGTGCAGTGCGTCTCAGCGTAGTGCGAAAAGCGCGCATGCTGGTGGTATTACAGATGGAATCCCAATGACTATGATGGTCTATCTGCTTACCCTTTATTGTGTTGCATTTGGATTCAGGAATGTTAGTGCACACAAAACTTAAGGCACCATGATTTTGCCTCGTGGTTCGCGACTTAAGAGCACTAGGTTCTTTTGCTTTTTGTGGATTTGTGGACCGCACTGGCGATAGCGATCCATGTTGAGGCACGGTTTTGCCCTCTCCGGCAAGTGGAATCACAGGTGTCTTTGACGGCGTTATCCTAGAAGCAACCGCTGAGTAGGACGTCCAGTTTTTATTTCCCTTGGACTTACTGGAGTTTTGTGTTTCGAGTATGTAAACTGTATTAGTGGTTATTACACCATTGGAGAACGTGGAAGCGGGTGGGTTGTGAACGACTTGTTCACTTAGTGGAGTCATGTGGCTAGGAGCCATTTGAGACTGAAACGCTGTGGTGAGGTTGGGACGCCTGGCCCTCTTCTTCGGCCTAAACGGGGAGTTTGTAACTGTTCATTCAGATGCAAATGTAGAATTGTTTACTTTTACAGCAGCATTGTTAGCGTTCACTGGTTGCTCAATTGTTTCCGCCAACTTTACAGTTTTTCTTTAGGAAGATTAAACAACTAACAACTGGGATGGATTTGCACACCTGGCAGAATCAAAATGCTTCGGTTTTTCAGATGTACTGTCTAGTTTCGAGCGCACGCATCCCCAAACACTTCTAATGGTACACTTTTTGACAGTGAAAGCAAACTGGACCAGGGGTAACGGTTTTTACACATAGGTCACAAATGACTTTCGAATGGGCCATATGTATTTGGGGCGTGCACTTTGTCATTGTGACTTGCGCCAATTCCAAAGGGGATTAGATAGAAAAGCACAGTTCAGAATCTAGTTTGTAGGTGTCTCACTTATCTACTTTCCACTACCATTAAATGGAATAATGCTACTGATATATGCGGTCACGGTCAGTAATGGAGCAGTGCACTAGGAATGACCGCAGATGGTGGTGATATGTTGTGAAGATTCTGAAATAGCAAGATCGAATGGAGCAACTGGATGTACTCTACAACAGGGGTAGCAAGAGGACAGAGATACTAACGCACCGTGTACGACTTTGTTTCAATTTTCGTTGCGTGGCAATCGGCGCCGGTTTGAGGTCAGATGTTTGCCTCCGGCGCCGGTTTGAGGCCAGATGTTTGCCTCCGGCGCTTCAGATGGGTCAGACGTGTCGCGCCCAGATGAGTCACACTTTTCTTAAGGTGGATAGGCGATGTGCGTGCTGTCGATGCAGCCGGTAAACGGACATGCAGCGACGCAGCGTGGAATCGAGGCAAAACAAGATGACATGGAAACTATTGTCTCATGACGGAAGTGGCTGTTCCAAAGGCTGATCAAATTGACAACTATCGGTTTGTACAGCGACTATAACATTTCTCCGCCAACTTGACATCTTGGATAATAGAATTAATCTGAACGGCCAAGGAGTTGCGCTCAGGGGCATACAAGGCGAGTACTGTTACTTTGAGCCGTGCGTGCGCCACTCACTTGTGCAGCTGTGTAGGCGTGCGTGTATGGCCCGGCGCCTTCAGCCAATTGGACCTCAGACGCACCAAGTCATAGGGGTGCAGGTAAGACGCCTCGGCTCCTACCAGGGACAGTTTCGGTGACCGATGCACCATGTGGGACTTTGTTCCTCTGTCATAGGAAGCGATTCCCACAGATTAGAACGAGAGTAGGGATTAAAATGACCGCTGGGTTGGTATAACGAGTCACAGCCAAATAAGTTTGCCGTATGCTTTTGAATGTGCACTTTACCTAAACGCAATGGTTGGCTTGTATGTTCGGCACTTGAGGGAGTTGAAGAACGTCATACTGAAAGCGTACGAGGAAGGCAACGATTGGAAGCAGGTCGCTTGCATACGGAAGATGAATATGAAAACTTGTCGCAGCTGGATACGGGAGTACAAGTCGACAGAACCGGTGGAGCAGCACGGGGAGGTCCGTCGTACAGCACTGAGAGAAAGCCTCGTCGACTCTAATGGAGTGGGTTTCTGAGGAGCCTACCGTTACCCTTGAACTCCTTCGGTTGCGCTTAAAGGCGGCGTTCGAACTTTAGTAAGTACCAACACCATCTCACGATACGTGGATGGTAGGTTGATAACAAGGAAGAACTTGCACACCAATCCAGAGTCCATGAACACACTGGAGAACAAAAAAAGACGCAGCTCATTCGTTTTGCAGTTCATGGATTACGAGGTGGAAGGAAGGCAACCGGTGTGGATTGATGAGAGCAACTTCAACTTATTTTGCTCCCGCATTCGTGGCCGCTCACGACGTGGTAGTCGGAAGCAGTTGCATTAACGAACAGTCGGGGACCGAATGTTCATCTTGTCGGCGCCATGATAAACAACGGCTTGATAGCGTGTTCGATTCTGAGAGGAAGTTACACCCAACAAACGTGCGCTCAGTGGCTGCGACAATTGTTTGATACCAACGGAGTAGGGTTTGTGGAAAGGTGTTTCTTGATTTGTGACAACGCGCCCTGTCAAACGCACCTGGAGCACATTTGCCTGGAGGAACCGTACCGCTCTGAGGGACTTCTACGCCTTGCGCCATACTCTCCAGCTCTCAATCCCATCGAGGGAATCTGGAGCATAATAAATGCTCATGTAAAACTGGTAATGAGGGGACGGTACTCCGAGATGCTCCTGGGGGATCCTGAAGGCGTTATGAGTTAAAGCGAGTGGCGGATTCGCTTTTTGGAACACGCGGTGTCTGGAGCACTGGTCTTAGTGACGCAGCAGCACTGCCAACAAATGGTTCAGCATGTCAGTAAGAATTCTGGACGTGTTGTTCATTTGGTCGATCTGTAAAACATTCTGGTGGCAGTAGATTACCTGTTCTAAGCGAGTGTTGTTCTTACATTATTATGATGACGGGTCAGAGTGCACTTTCTACCCTGCTAGAAATAGCCAGTTCTCTAATCGGGAGAACATCGTGTATTTCCGGTAAGTTGGTGAGCGTGGTCGCGTCGCACATCCATTTTAGTTGTCGCGTTGTAGAAATATCATGTGAGAGCATGGCAAACTGATGCCACTCTAACACGATTGCGTAACAAGCCTGTTTTTTTGTGTTTGATGAGCCACTGGCTCTCTGCGTTTTGGGATGCGTCGTCTCGTTACAACGACATGGCACAGTAGCTTGATCACTAAGTAGCAAGAAAGAGGAATTTATCGTTTCCGTGTTACGTCAGTCACACTACCCCTTGTAACATAGCACAGGATTTCGCGACACTTATCAGTGTCACCTGTGCATAACGCAAGTTGTTGCCATCGGATACCAAAGTCCGTAACTTGCTTCGTCCAGTTGGTCATGGACAGTTATGTCGCACCAACGCATGCGAATTCGCTATGGCGACCGGGGAGCACATGCATGGCCGAATGGACGTACTTAGCATGTGGCGATGATAGAGCAATAGGACGCGTTGTCACCTGGCCTGACCACTGCAATATGCAGGTCTGATCGCAATAACCATTGGGGTGATCGTTGGCCAGGCAACAGGACGCGGCCGATTGTGCATTGTTTAACAAAGATCACTTGTGATGAATGTGGAAGGTCAGATAGGATCCGTAAAATACGGGAACTGTTTCCCATCATACGAATGAAAACACTGCGCAAGAGATACTTGTGTGGTAGTCAAGAGATGCAGTTAAAACGCTGCTTCAAATCTCTTGGTGGTTAGCATCGATTGTCAGCGGGAACTCGAGGTGGGGAATAATTGAGGAACACAGAAACCTGACAAGGGTACGAATGCTGGAGCCACTAACAGGCAATGTTGCAAACCCATGGCCGAAAGACACGGTCTCCCTTTACAAGGTGTATACTGACCGCAGGACATATAAGCGCTTGACCCAGATCCAACATGAGTGTTGAAATGGCATGACACTGTATAAAGTAACGGTATATTACCTTGTGCTCCCCGTTATAGGTGTCCTCGTACATGACTGCAATCACGCGGTATTTGGTATCCCATTATGAGGTTTCCCTGTGGCGTTCACTGAGCAATCAAAGTCTCTGCAGTTGTTCGGATACAGGACGTGCCTCAAGCTCTTAGCAATCATCATTGCCCGGCATCGTTTGAGCGCAGCGAGGTCGCGCTTTAACCAGTGTTGCCAATCCTGGGTAGCTTATTCGTCTTGGAATGTACGTAGGCGTTCAGCACCCGGGAGAAACTGGAATAATCTACACTGTCGAGTACTCTTCGCAAGAGACCAACATACTGGTTGCCTTTTGTTATATCAAAATCTAACTGTCTGGAACAACAGCGAATAGTTAAACCGAGATGATAGGTTTCTTATTCTCGGAATATCTAATCAATTAGGCATAACATGATTTTCTACAGGCCTGGTTAGACGCGAGTCTCCAAATGAACGTTCTTAAACAAGAGCAATGGTTGCTGATGCTGACAGCTGCGTTGTAAATATATATCTCGATATGCGCAAAGCATTTCACCAAGTCCCAAACGTTAGATTGCGGAACGTGTTACAATTGGTTGGCATCCTGTAATCGGTTATATCTACCGGCCTCCCCGAGCAACCCAGCATAAAACCTAGCAGCTAATAAATGCTATCTACACAGTTTCAAGCAATACCTACAAGTCCAAACTTATGCGTGAATATTTTAATGGGCCACAACTTAAGTGATTAGTGACTAGACCTACGGTGTAAACGCGACTAGACGAAATTCTGTGCTCTATCGACTTCAATGGCTGTATCACATATGTCAGAGGGCCCACCGGAAATGCCAATACCCTAGATTCGGTATTCACCATGAGGATCCATTCCGCTTGTGCACTCATAGACAGTCCACTGCCAGGCTGCGACCACAACACGGCGTTTTGTATCATGAACATAAAACGAACTAAGCCACTCCAGTACAAAGCTGCACCCGACCCATAACATTCGCCGAACTGACAGGAATGCATTTAAGGAACTTAT